AGAGATTATATCTCTCGGCTGGCCTGGGAACGCCTTGGTGTTCCCCCGGATAAGCTGGAGGAGGTGGCTGGGGAGAGGGAGGTCTGGGCCTCTCTGCTTAGGCTGCTGCCCCCGCGACCCGGCCCCGGATAAAGCGGATGAAGATGGATGGATGGATGGATGCATGGATCTTGTCTCTTCAGAATATTTTCATCTGGTTTTTATTTGTTGATGAAAGTGTCAGTGCCTTTCGTCATCATTTTTGTCCTTGTGCATTTATTTTTATTTAGTTATCGTCTTGTTTTTGTCAGCAAAACTATGATGAAAATTACTAGTCAATGAAATTGAAATAGGAGCTGGTTTCCTCAAAAGATTACATTGATATCTCATTGGTATCTCAAGGCTACATCCCATTTTGCTTTTGGAAACACTAATCCCAAGCTGTACTGTGAGGTCTCTGAGATATGCTGGGGAATATTTCTTTCTTGGTGGTGTTGGTGAATAACTGCTGTGCTATAAAACAAAACTTTAACCTCCTAAGACCCGAACTCTTTCATGGCATGCATTTTTAATTTTTCTTTGCAATTCTCTTTGTTCTATAGAACACTATGAAGTCACAATTGAGTAATGATGTGCAAAACTCTTTATTTGGTGTCTGAACACAGCAGCATTTTTCTTGAGCACAAAAACAAAATGAGAAAGAACAATTGTTCCCGTTTGAGCAATATGGCTCCTTTGAAAGCCATCTGAAAGAGCAAAATTTAGTACTGTGGTCAAGACAACCCAAAATGTGATGCCCCCATATGTGCACGCCAGGTCCCAGGAGGTTAAGGTCTTTAACCTTCCTCCATGTCTCAAGCAACCTCTTAGCTTGGAAAGACGTAAGTCTGGTTTTAAACTTCCATTTTGTATTCAGGCTTTTACCTGGATGAGATCTCGGGCAACCAACTCTGTCTCCCCTGCAGGAATGCTGTCGTCCAAGACCTCCCATCGCTCCCCCAGGCGAAACTCCATGACATAATGCTGGATAGGTGCTGTGTGATTGGCAGGCGGAATCCAGGTGAGCAGGACTCCCTGCTGCGTGCGATTGGCTGTGAGGCACCGTGGTGGGGTAAGCAGCACCAATGGTTCAGGGGTACTTGTAGGAAATACTGGAAGAGCATTTTAGAGTTGAAAATGTCTGTTAAAGATTCAGTTATCTTGAGCAAGTAGCAAGTGTCCATTGGCAGGATAAAAGTGAATCAGCTCCCCTTTACACACTGACACTATCACACATTCAAATCTAACTGTGACAATAATGGTGATGCATGATATCAAAGCCACCACATACACCACATTTATAAGCATTTTATTCTGGTAGCATATATGTCAGTCACAACTTAGCATTTTTTGCTAGCACCCTTACAGCATTTTCATCTTTAAGGTATGCTAAATTTAATCCAGCCTTGCTAAACTGCTATTTGAGCGGTTGCACTGCATACATTACAGAGGAATTTTGACTCAGATTATCTTTTAGTATTAATGTAAATTCATACATTTTGTTTTTATTGTATTTTAAGTTAATCTGGGTTAAAAGTAACTTTTGTTGGACCACCACCTAATTTTTTGACTTGAATTTATGAAGTGGTTAATCGTGAAAAAGAAAGAACTAAACTAGACTGGTAGTTATAAAGCACTTTTCTATTCAATTGTCTATTTATCTATACCTACTTTAACCACCCACACTCCAGCAGATGACCAGGGGGTAATACGGTTCAGTATACTGCTCAAGGATACTTTGAATCCTGGAGTGCAGGAGCCGGGGATCAATTCACTTTCAACTGGAAGACCTACTAGGCGACCTACTGCCTGATCCACACCTGCACTAATAACAGTTCACTCTGTTCATTTAACAAAACTTTTAAAGACACAAAACTAGCAAGTTAGCAAACATCTGATTGTGGAACATTTGGCAAATCTAACAGACTATTTCTTTTTCATAGATCATAATCTTTGAAATTTTGTGTTTATTATCTCTCTTAATTTGAGTGCCTCGTACGCTCATATGATCAGGTGAAAAATAAAGTAAAGGCTTTGCATCCGATCAAATGAATGTTATTTAGAATTGTAGCTTACATATGAAAATGTAACCAGCATTTGTAAACATTTTGACCTACCAATTTATTCGTTAAAATATTTACACCCATTCTTTCAAACTCGTTCACTAACTTCGGTGGTAAAAACGTGAATAAAGATGTTTCCAAAATATCTATTAGTTCTACTTTTTCCAAAGACGCCACTATAAGCTGATTGTCATTTAGATTTAAAAAGTTTAAAAGTAAACATTTCTTAACAAAGGTCAGCAAATGAACCACTGAGCTGGTGACTGTTGGTTTAACCTTCAGGTCTATGAGATACTAGAAGTTCGTTCTATGTATTGGTGTAACGACACAAAGCTGATCCTGACTGTGTTTCGATTAAAATGTTTCTTTGCACATGATGGTTAAATATGGTACTAAATATATCACACTAGTGTTTTTATTTGAAATAATGGGGAGTTGGCTGTTTTCTGTGTATAGAAGAGACAGTAGCATTTTTTTTAATAAAGATTCAGTTTCAACTCAGCTTCGGAAGATAAGAGGTAATAACTATGTACCTCACTTCATATTCAATTTAACTAACTAGCCAGCAATTCACTTTATTATTCACTGAGACAAAAGTATTCTGGGAAAATTAAACTAATTCTTAAATGAAAAAAACATTTAAACATTTAAACAACATTTCATGAATAAAGGTGACATGAAAATGCAAAGATATCACTATTCCTTTAGTCTGTGAAAGATCACACGACCAGCACTCACACAGAGAGTGTTGTTTGGCCTCCCCGGAGCCGATGTGTGAGTTGTTAACTTGTTAGACTTTATTTACAGCACAGATCCTCCTGAAATTACTTCTCTACTACTGTAGTGTGATGTTTAATTGGAAGAACATTTAAGAAGTGCCTTTTAATGATAAATATTGGAATGCAAATTAAGATCAATATAATTTAAAATAGCCTACTACTTTTCTAACACTTGCATGACATGAAAAACATGTCCGGATGATTTTTCTTAGTTCAGTGTTTTTTGCATCTCTCTCTACTTGCCTGCCAAAGCTGTTTTATTATTGGATCCTTTCCTCCTGGTTAAGCAGTAGTGGGTGTACTCACCTAGTGTGTTCACAGTGACAACCTCGCTGAAGGGGCCTGTGCCAAGCTTGTTTTGGGCCAGGACGCTAAACTGGTATGTTGTCTCTGGCTCTAAGCCGGGCACCACCATCCAGTCGTGGCCTCCAGGCACAGGTATGGAAAGCCAGTCATACGGACCTAAACGCTCCCTCTTCAGCCTGCACAGGAGTCATGATGAGATGCAGGTACACAGACAGGAAAAATATTGAAGAAATAAATCAGGAGGTGAGAGGAAGACTTTTTTTAAATCTTTCGGACAAAATGGACATTTATTTACAACAGTTACAACTATATTCAAGTCTTTTCTCAGCACCAGTTTCATCACACAGTGTAGCGCATTATAATGATTTATCATAATGTAATCTATTTGATCTCAAACCTAAATTCAACATTGCATAGGTTAATTGTATGGATCTGAATTGAATTGAATGTACCACATATTTTATTTCATTGTTCACAACACAGTTTTGACTTGATGGTATTAAGCCCATGCCGAGCTCAGCTTTGCAGTTTGCTGTTTGCCCATGCCACACATTCAGCTGTGCCTCATCAATCAAATCAAGCAGACAACTGTGCGCAAACAAAAACAGCAACAACCTTCAGTCTAAAGCACTGCGATAATAAAACTTTACAATCAGCTCTCAGGTACCAAGAAATGAAGTAACTTTCTTTAACACATTAACTACGACCAAAAAAAGCTGAAACACTGTGAGAAATGAAAATAACATCACAGTATACAAATTTATAAATAATTTATATTTAAGTGAATATATTTTTAAATAAATGCTATGTGGTTCAAATACAACAGAAGCAACATATTAAAATCTTGAAATGTGTCTACATGTTGAAAAATATATGCTTATTTTGTACCTGATGACAGCAACACATTTAAAACAGTTAGACTAGGCCCATGTTTAGCACTGTGTAGCATCATCTCTTCTTTTGCCAATGGTAAACATTTAAGAACATAGGAGCATAATTGTTATGATTTTAAAGTCTCATTCTTGCTTGTTGTAGGATCTCAGCTGCTCAGTACTGTAATTTAGGGTCTCCTTTTTTGGGTGAAAATAAATGCTGCTCCAAAACCCGTACATATCGTTCAGTGTTAATGGTTTATCCACAGAGGAAAATTCACCCATGGTAACTAATACATAGCACTGCAATTGCAAATTATAAACTGTATGACAGTGATATCATGGTCTCTATTTTAGCCTTGCAGGACAAGGTCTGCATAATTTCCATAACTCCCCTGTGGTCATGCAGACCACAAAACTGCTTTGCAGTTTCTGTCAGTCCACCTTACAGTGCTGTCAAGAAGTATTTGCCCACTTCTTGATTTTGTAGTTTTTATCAATGGGATAATAACAATCATCATCTCAAATGACAAATGTTTGGAGGTGCTTGCTGAAGCTGACGGAAATGACATAAGGGAATGTACAAAGAAGAGGAAAAACCTGAGAGACCTATGGGGCCTTACACATTTGAGATCACTGAGCAAATTTAAATATTAGACAAGAATAACTCGAGTAAATACAAAATGCGAATTTAAAATGATTATTGAGGAGAAATGCTATCCAAACCTACCAGGCCCTAAATTTAAAGTAATTGCCCCCTAAGCCTAATAACTGCTTGTGTCTTCCTTCGTAGCAAGAACTCAATCTGGTCGCAGCACATGGCCGCCCCTTCCTGAGCATGGTTCTGCTGGAGGTTTCTTCCTGTTAAAAGGGAGTTTTTCCTTCTTACTGTCGACAAAGCGCTTGTTCATAGTGAGTCATCAGTTTGTTGGGGTTTTCTCTGTATTGGTGTAGGGCCTTTACCTTACAATACAAAGTGCCTCAAGGCAACTGTTGTTGTGATTTGGCGATATCTAAATAAAACTGAACTGAATTGAATTGCAATTAAACATTTGCAGTATGTCAAGGCTCACACTCAGATGTGAGACACTGAAGCAAAAGTTTAGCAGATTTACAGCAAGCATGGAGCATGGTATTGTAAATGGTCTGTATTTGTATAGCGCTTTATTGTCAGAGTGGAACGGGCAGTCTGGCAGGGAGATAGTCCACTTAATTCTCTCTCTCTAATTTTACAGATGACTCACTTCCAGATTCTCTCTCTGAAGGTTTCTCGAGACTGAAAGAGTGCACAGAGGAAAGCTGGGTTTGTTCTAAGGCTTAGAACAAACCCAGCTTTCCTCTGTGCACTTAGAATCTAAGCCATTCCAGTCAAACACAGTGAACACACAGAAGCCAGACAATGCTACTTCAGTAACTCCAACAATCTAGCAACCCATCTGAGCCTTAAGTATCAGATGGGTTAACGTTCCACACAGGTGGGTTGATTGGCAACAACTTCCAGGTGTGAAAAACCAGGAGGGTGAGAAAACCCAGAGGAATCCCGCCTCTGAAACAAACAGAGTAAACCCACGCACACACTGAAAGGAGACAGGGAGAGTGGAAAAAACCCCACAAAGGAGAAGAAACGGACAGAAATGGCACACAGGAGCACCAGGAGACCGTGCCAATACCATCTGTCATGGTTCTAGGTCATTTGACCCAGCTTTTGGGGTTATGGTTTCTTTGTGTTGTAATTTTTTAGTTTTCTATTATTTAGTGTTGAGTTTATCTTTGTATTTGCTGCTATGTTTAGTTATAATTGTTTCCATGTTGTCTGGTCGAGGTGTCTCGTCTCCTCTTCCTGTTTACATGTTTTCCTCCACGTGTTTTGTTCCATGTCTCCCATGCCCGTCATGTTTCGCTCCCTCTGTCAAGTGTCCGCTCTCGATCCCTCTCTCAGGCTCCTGTTGTCACAGTCTATATCTCACTATGTTTCCTGTTTTATTTTGACAGTCTTGCGTTCCATGTTCAGCGTGTGTAGTTTTGCGTCCCCTGTGGCATTATGTTCATTTGTGTCAGCTGTGTTTCCACTTCCCTCGTTACCGTTCTGTGTATTTATGTTCTCTGTCTCCCTTTGTTCATTGTGAAGTCATCGGTTTACCTCCTGACGTCTCCGTGGTTCATGTTTTCAGCATTTTCAGGTTTCATGTTTTAGTTACTCCCAGTCTAGGTTTTGTTAGTTCTCGTTCTGTTTATTTTCTCATTTGTTTTCATGTGTTTCATCTGCCTCAATAATGGCTCCACACCACAACACGCCGGCTACTCGGCCGTAACACTGCCTGCTTAATAGGAGCCTCTTAGTGACATACTGGGTTTTTGGAATACTTTTGATGGAACCCCTTGACCAGTGAGGGATCCAAAATGGCAGACCATGGAACCCTGTGTCTTTTGTCTTGCACATAACCCCAATCAATAACTCCCAATCACCCAGGTAGGTGGGGAGGGGAAGGGGGGGGATTGGAAAAAGGGCACAGAGGACTGAAACAGACCGGTTTCAGCTAATGAGTTTTGGGTCTTAGGCAGTTTCAAAGAGACAGTGACAGGGTTGATTATGATCTCCTTTTTGTAGTGTAGTTGAAAGACAGTTTTTTAGATTCATCATAATTTCATACTTTTGAAGACAACCTGACTTTTTGACCTGGAAGGTACGCAGGTGCCAAAAGATGACGGCTACCCAGTCACTTGGTCTCTATGTTCTAAGCAAGACTGCTTGGGTTGCTCTCCTTAACTAAAGACAGCGACAAAGGTGATGCTAAACAGATGGAACAGAGCTCACCTTCCTGAGATGGGACCAGTGATAGCTGGTGACTGAGGGACACCTTGAAGAGAGACCTGTAAACATGGAGGTCATGTAGTTGTGAGCATACTCTAGCCAGGGAAGTTGCAAGCTACAAGTGCACTACTCACAGAGGGTCCACTTCCAGTTCCTGGTTAATCTTTTCAGTCTGTCTGAGATTGGAAACCAGAAGAGAAACTAACCTAGACACCAATTGCACCAATTCCAGCCCTCCAGACTCTAGAGGTGAACTGTGAGCCAAGATCAGAGACAATATCCTAAGGAATTCAGTGGTGACAGAACACACATGGTCAGTAAGTAATTGAGCAGTCACTAATGAAACAAAATAGGCAGCCTTGAAACACTGATTGACTATGGTCAGTGGCACTATGGTGTTACCTGACGAAGGAGACAGACCGGCTACAAAACCCAAGGCTCAAAAAAGACTCAATCTCCAGGGCAAGGAGTCCAACGATGCACGAATGGGCTCATACTTGGAAACTTGGAACTCTAGCAAAGAATACATGCCACGTAGCGTGATGGGAGTCAGTCATATGGCCGCTTAGAAGACAAATCCACATCCAGGGGGATAGAATTAGGCACAGATGATGCCAATGAATGATAGATTCAGGGGCGATCGTGGCTCAAGAGTTGGCTGTTCGTCTTGTGATCGGAGGGTTGCCGGCTCGAGTCCCGGCTCAGACAGTCTCAGTCGTTGTGTCCTTGGGCAAGACACTTCACCTACCACCTACTGGTGTTGGCCAGAGGGGCAGGTGGCACGATATGGCAGCCTCGCTTCTGTCAGTCTGCCCCAGGGCAGCAGTGGCTGCAACTGTGGTTTGCCTCCACCAGTGTGTGAGAGTGAATGAATAGTGGAATTGTAAAGCGCTTTGAGGGTCTCGAAAAGCGCTATGTAAAGGCAATCCATTATTATTATTAGATGTATTTTTCCATTACTTCGTTTGGCTCGTCCATAGAGACGGTTTGTGGGGAGAGGTGATCCAGGAAGGACATCAATCGAACAATCATTTTTTTCCCTTAATAAATGAAATCATTATTAAAAAAATATTGGTGGCAGCCAGTGGTACTCCTCCTCCTAGCCTCCTAGTAGGTGCACATATGGTATCAATTTCCTACTTTTCCTTGTTCTTAAGTTATTGCATTCATAAGATTTTCAGAAAACTTGATCTCTGAAACCTAACCTTGAGGTCAAAGTCACTGAGATTCGAACTCATCCAAGATTTCTGGTATCAATTTCTAGTCCTAAGTCACTTCCTTCTCAATGGTCACGGTTTCCTATGAGATTTTCTGTAGATTCACTTAAACTGAAGCTCCTACATCACTTCGTTTTCGAGTTATGACATTCACAAACTTGGGTGTCCACGTCACCCGCCCCATCAGCCTTTTACAGAAAAACTGCATTTTGTATTTACTCAGGCTTTCTTTGCCTAATATTAAAATTAGTTTGATGATCTTAAACACATAGGTA